GTCGTCGTCCTCGCCGCTATAGTCAAGTTCCTCGTCGTCTTCGTCGTCCCCGACGTGTTCGACTATGCGACCCCGTGACGGCGGTTGCCTTGCGTAGGCACTTGCTATGCGGCCGCGTATCGGGAAGTCGCGCGGCAGCGGAGGACCATCGGCTTGGTTGGCAAACTGTTCGAGCTCCTCATAGTACGCGTCGTACAGGCCCTCCAGCTCCTCTTCTATGGCGGTACGCTTGCGGCCGCAGACGGTGCAGCTGCACGTGTGCTTTTGCTGTTCCTTCATTTTGCGCAGCACGGCGTCCTTCTCGACCTTGACCAACGACTTGCGATCCTCCTCGCCGAGGCCCAGCCAAAACTCCTTGATCCGCTCTCGCTCCTCCTGTGAGCTCGTGTTCCAGATCTTCTCCTTGGAGATACCAGGGCCTCGTGGTGGGAGCGGGTGGGATTCTGTGCCGGGCGGCGGGACATTGGCCGATTGAGGATCGTCGGCAGCGGCTTGCGCGGCGCCGTTCTTCTTCTTCTTCTTCTTGGACTTTTTTGACTTGCCAGACGTCGTGCCGTTGGCATTGGCATGATGGTCTCCTTCCCTATCCTCCTCCTCATCGGTCGCTTCGGGCTCCACTTCATCTTGGCGAGTGGAGGGGCTGGGCTTCGGCGCGGCGGAAGGCGTGGTCGGAGGCACGGGTTCAGAACTTGTGTTCGTCGCAGCTGCCGCCTGCTCGGCAGCGGCCTTGGCAGCAAGCTTTGCTCGCCTCTTCTGCTTTTTACGATTGACCGCTGGTGCGGGTTCCTGGTCGACGGGAGTGGTCCCGTTCGTCGCTGGTAGCACGGGGGCCTTGGTCGTGGTTGTCGGCGTGGAGGGCTGGGAAGCATCGGTGCTTTGAGCAGACTTGGGTACGGTGATGATCTTTGAGCCATCTTTGTTCGTGTACCTGGCCGTGGCCTTGGCGTTGGGCGATGGCGGAGGCTGCGCCGCCGGCTGGCGGTGGTTGGCAGGCATATCAAGAGTCTGCCGGGGAGCAGGTTGAGGACGTTGATACCATGGGCAGGTCAAGCAGCTGGGCTGGTTCGGAGAGAGCGAGAGAGTAAGTAAGAGGGAGAGAAGGCGCCAGGTCTGTGGGGCTAGAATGATAGAGAGGACAGGTTAGCGAAGATGTCGTCACACGGTTGGGTCAAGTTCGGGTGGTGGTTAGGCAAGGAGGGCAGTCGAGATCCCGGGGCCCGTGGCGGATCGCGAGTCGAAGTATTCGCAGGATAGAACGCGTCGTCGACCTGAGCAACAAAGACAGATGGGCAGGGCAAGGCGTAGGCCTCAGACAGTGGAGGGGCGGGAGGGTTATCCTGCGGCGTGAGGGATGACGAGGCAGAACTCACTATAGCGGCGAAATGCAAGAATGAGAGGGTGGCGGCGAGGCAGGAGGTAAGGCTGCAAGTCGCGTCGATCGAGGCAAGAGAGGCGCGCGTCGAACGATACCGAGTGGCGTGGGATAGTGGTCGTCGAAGGCGGGAGGTCGTTCGCGATGTTGGTCGCCGCGTTGCAGTTCGTACACAGTCAAGGTAGAGAGGTTGTCCTGTCCTAGTTGGTGCCTCTTTGGTCCGGGGGGGGCGAGGCGGAAGTCACTTTGTGGTGTAATCTAGCGGGAGAAGTACCTGGGTCCGACCGGGGAGTAGGGCCTTCCTGCAGGTGCGAGGCACTTGGTCAATCAGATTTCGAGGCTGTGAATTTGGTGCGAGTCACGTGGCAGGCTTTTGGTGACGGAATTGGACGATTCGCATGGACAAACGGGCAGGCAGGCAGTCAGGCCTGAGGCACGTTTCGCTTGAATGGATACTGATTATGTAACTCCGAGACGTCATCCTTAGTTGTCGTCGTGGCAGCCCGGATCGGAACCCAGGCCTGCCCGGGATGCAGCTCACAGGGATAAGTCTCAAGTTCATCCCCCCTAATTCGGAGAAACCTCGGGGGGGGGAATGGCATGCACAATTCAAGGTGCACGGACCCTATACAGTATGTACAGTATATTTTGAAAAGTTAATATTCTAAGAAATAATAGATTTTAAATAGATTTTAATTATATATAAGGCATATGCTTAGCATATGCCCTAGAGAGCTAGATTCCTAAGGTAAGTTAGGCATATGCTTAGCATATACTTAGTATATGCCTTAGAGAGCTAGCTTCCTAAGGTAAGTAACGTAAATACTTAATATATACCTAGGATATATCTTAGAGAGCTAGATCCTTAAAATATATATACTTTTAGAATTAAGTCTTTAAGGTAAGTAGGTTAGGTATATACCTAAGTTACCTTAGGAAGCTAGCTCTCTAAGGTATATACTAAGTATATACTAAGCATATGCCTAACTTACCTTAGGAATCTAGCTCTCTAGGGCATATACTAAGCATATGCTAAGCATATGCCTAACTTACCTTAGGAATCTAGCTCTCTAGGGCATATACTAAGCATATACCTAACTTACCTTAGGAATCTAGCTCTCTAGGGCATATGCTAAATATATGCTAAGCATATACCTAACTTACCTTAGGAATCTAGCTCTCTAGGGTATATACTAAGCATATACTAAGCATATACTAAGCATATACCTTATATATGATTAAAATCTATTTAAAATCTATTATTTCTTTAATATATACTTTTTAACTCTAAAACATAGGTATAGTATATAATTATATTTGCACTGTGGAGTTATGAAATTGCTCTAAAATTATGCTAACTACCCCCCCGAGGTTTACCCGGATTGGGGGGGGTGAACTTGAGTCTCACCCCTGTCAGCTGTAAACTCCAGGCCTGCCAGGCTTCGGAACCCAAGCGTCGGGCCATCAGGGTTGAATGCGCTAACCCAGCAGTTTGGTCGTTCTGCTTGCACTTCTGGTTGGCAATTGGGGGGGGCCGAACCATACCTAGGATGCACCTACAACTGACGAGAGCTTTTTCCTCGGGTCGCTTAATTCGCATGACAGCGCCCCTGGTGCAATCAGGCCCTGCACCAGGCTGTGGGTTTCTCCTTTCCTTGCACGATTGATTCTCCAACCTTGCTCGGGAAGTAGCTGTCAGATCATCATCATTATCCCCACATGTTCAACACATTCACTTTGCAACCCCTGGACCAGCTGCAGTCAGCTCATCTCATCTCATCAGACGGTATGATGTCCAGTGTTGCGCAAGTCAACCAACCTACAGGTACAGTAGGTACCTACCCCTTATCTCGTCGGACAATATGGGTCAAAGCCTGGCCCCTGATCATTTCCCACAGCCCATCTTAACCCTCACTGTGGCCCAAGACATTGCACATGCCATGCGGATCCTGACAGACAAATACATGTCCACGGGACCATTCGGCCGACGGTGCAATGGCATGCAGAGAACAAACATTTCAATGGCTACCTATCTCAAAATAGAACACATTTAAACCGCCCGACATCGACACTAAAACCCCTTAGCCACGAGGTTGAAAGACAGAATCGGATCATACGGCTTACTGTGGAGGATCCACGGAAGCCTTTTGGAAGAATGCACCCCAATTAATACAAACTCGTCTGCATTGACGGACCCAACTCTGTCGCCCGTCTCGTGCGTGGGCCATCGATCACCCATCCCCCCCCCCCCCCCCCCCCCAACCCATCCCGGTCTCGCCGGCATATGTCCATGTTGTGCTCTGTGGTTCGGTCCTGGATCGGCTCTCTGTACGAACCAAGAGAGGTTGATGGGGTGGGCCATCGGGTTGACCGTGGGAAATGTGCTCTTGAAACTACCTTACCCTTACCAGAACTAGGTAGGCAAGCAAGCTAACTAATGGGAAACATGGAGCTGGCGCAGCCTATCCGACCAGGGGTGAAGGGGTGGGGGGTGAGGGTTCGTTGGCGCAGCTCCCGCCCTGATTATCATTAGCTGGGCTGGTGTTCATCGCTGAATGGGCCATCACAGGCACAACAACTCCGCTGGACGGAGGCGCAGTCTTGTCCTATAGGCCTCCCATCGACCGAGTCCCGCAACTCCTGACATGGCATCAGAGGTTGTTGGTTTGTATTCACTTCACTTGATGGGAACAGACAGACGAGCTCGTCGAGCATGTCCGCACTGTTACTGTGCATGAATTGATCTTCGAGATCGCCGGACTTACCCCCGATGGTCCAAGCTGCAAGCAGGACAGGACGAAACGAGAGACTGGCTTGCAGGGCAGTCGAGTGAAATTCTTCAGCTCGTATTCTCTCTCCCCTTGATGCACTCCCGTTCGCCTTGCCAGCCTGCCAGCCTACCTAGTGCAGTACCTACCCCATTCTCCTCCCACCCCAATCCCTCCCCCGGCAAGCAAGCACCAACGCCAGCCCCAGCCCAAGCCCAAGCACCAAAGCAACAAGCACCAAGTAACAAGCACCGACCCAAGCGCCGCGCCTCAGGCTGATCGTCGCTGCTGCTTCCCTCATTATTTTTCCTTCTTCCTCTTCTCACCTACCTACCTACCTAGGATCCTTTCCTTCTTCCAACCAATCTCCCTACGGATCACGAACACCGCCCTCTGCAACCACGAACTCGCCAGGCCTCGACCCCTCCCCCAAAAACCCTCAGACACACACACCCCCCTCCGACCTGCCGACCCCCCCAGGACAACGTTCCCGGCCGTGGCCTCCAAGACAAAATAGGATCGACCCACGACCCGAACAACCTGACCTGAACCATACAAAGGTCCGTCCCCCAGAAACCCACCGACCGACCGACCGACCAGCCGGCACCGACGCGCTTGGCTTGTGGCTCCGACTGTGGCTTGCTGCTTGCTGTTCGACTTGGGGGATTTCAATTGTTCGAACCCGGACTTCCTCCTCTCTTCAACTTCTTTCTCGACAGCCTCCTTTTCGACACCTGCTGCCGACCAGTACCTCCGGCAACATTTGTTCAGCAGCTATTCGACACGACGATTGCCTGCTCAATTGAAACGAGACCCTCCTTTCCCCCCTTATCGTCTGACGATCCTCGCCCGCATCCGCCATGGCTGCTTCAAATCCTCAAAACGTCATTCGAAGGTACGATGATGATCCATCTCCGCCAGGCTCTTGGCGGACAACCCTTTGATGCACGCCTCGGTCTGTTGACGCCAATGTGGCCGTCTTCCCTGCGCTCTACATTCTGCATCCGCCCACTGCAGCCTTCTGCTGCTGTCTAATCCACAACACACAACACACAACGCTGACATGCCCCCCCGGATAGGAAACTCGTCATCATTGGTGACGGAGCATGCGGCAAGACCAGTCTGCTCAGCGTATTCACGCTAGGATACTTTCCTACAGTATGTTGCGTCCAGTCTCCCCCGACATGGGAAGAAGATCTCTTGCTAACCAACGGTCACAGCATTATGTCGGTCCTCCAATCGCTGTATGCTCAAGACTCCATTGACCTAATCCTCTTGCTAGATCCCCACCGTCTTCGAAAACTATGTCACAGATTGCCGTGTCGATGGCAAGTCCGTTCAACTCGCGTTATGGGATACCGCTGGCCTGGCCAGGAGGATTATGAGCGACTACGACCTCTTGCCTACTCCAAAGCGCATGTTATCCTCATCGCTTTCTCCGTTGACACCCCCGACTCTCTCGACAACGTCAAGCACAAGGTAAGGCCCGCGTGGCACATGTTGCAGGTGAAGTTTGCTGACAAGCCTCGTAGTGGATAGAAGAAGCTAGCCGCCTCTGCCCTGACGTTCCGATCATGCTTGTCGGCCTTAAGAAGGATCTTCGCGAAGACCCCGTGGCGATCGAGGAGATGCGCAAGAAGTCTCTCCCCTTTGTCACCACTGCACAGGGCGATGCCGTCGCCCGTGAAGTTGGCGCTCGGAAGTACCTCGAGTGCTCCAGTCTCAGTGGCGAGGGCGTCGACGATGTGTTCGAGGCTGCCACACGTGCGGCACTGCTGACGTTCGAGAAGGGTGAGGGAGGAGGGTGCTGCGTCATCCTCTGAGCGTGCGTCCACATCGAACATAATCAATGGAGGGGGTTCATGAGCGGTTCAGGCTTGGAGGAGGAACCCTGAAATGGGTGACGGCTGGCCTGACGCCCTCCGGGACCGGCTCGTCACCTGCACGCCGCGCGACTGACTGCCAGACGTGCTACTCGGAAGCACACATTCGAAAAACGGCGAAGGGAAAATTCCGAGCTGCTTATCCACACTCGTTGTTCAGCAGCCACGCAACTTGTAAGCGATACTGCCGATCGCATCGCATCACGGCAGCATCTCTCATTTCGTTCGAGCGTCCACAGGGACCATCAAAGCAGCGCAGCATCTCCTCTGCCTCAGTGTGTATAAGAAGCGTCAACTGGGTAGCATCGGCAGGCACCGCACACCACGAAGAATCTCCAAATCAGCTCTTTGGTCTGCAGGTTGCCCAGGACTGAGCCCTGACGAGGCTTGGTGGACGAGGAACAATGACCCCGTTCAGCCGGCTCGAGCGCCCAAGCTGTAGGCTTATTCCAGGCGCCTCGTTCTTTGTCTTATTTTTGGTATCTAGTGCCATGGCTGTCGCGAAGCATCACTCACTACACCACGGCGGACGCGGCTTATTCATAATAATGAACTCATATCGGCATTGGACTTATTTGTGCCTGCCTACCCTCCTTGAACTCTATCCAACAGTGGTGATACAGTATGGTACGAAATCAAAGGAAACCCTCGCTGGGACCGAAACGTGAAGCCAGAAAAGACACATGGCCCTCTTTTCGCCCCTCAGAATTTAGCAAGAGAGACTCCATCTCCCCCCTCTCTTGTTCTCTGCAGATCCATTTTCTACCTCTTCCAGTCGTGATCCCAAGCGACCCTGGCAGGGGTCTCCGTCTGCAGCCTCGCGTACTCAATCGGCACAGCGTCGAGGCCGTACAGGCCCTTCTTCTCGAGCGCAACACGATACAGGTAGCCCTCGGCGTTGAGACCGGGGCCCTCGGTAACGCGAAGCTCCTCGCACGCGTTGCTGATGCCCTGGTGCTGGCGCATGAGCTCGCGCTCGCGGGCCTCCCGGAGCTGGCGCTGGTGCAGCTTCCAGGCGCGGTGGATGGTCCAGTGGCGCAGGTGGCGGTTGCGGGCCATGCGCAGGGGGGGCGGCGCGTTGCCGTGGAGGTTGCCGCGGAGCTTGGCCACGCGGGCGCGGTACTCGGAGCCCGGGGTCACCTTGGACTTTTTGCCCTTTGCTGCTTGCGGGGCGGGCGTCGTTGTGAAGGTGCGGAGGATCGGGAGCGTGGTTGTCGTGGCCTTGGGGAGAAGGGGGCGGGCGAGGAGGCCGGTCAGGGTGAATGGGAGGAGGGCCATTTTTGGATGCTTGTTGGACGACTGGTTGGGTTTTCGGCTTTGAAGCAGAAAGGGGGAATGTCGAGTCAAGACGCCCTAGTTCCAGTCGAGGGGATTGGTGTCGTCGGATGAGTTGTTACTGGAAAGGTCGTCGCGGCCGACTGTGGCTTCGTCTTCGATGCGTGCGGCAGCGCTGAGGGTGAGCTGCACGGCGAGTCCCGAAATGTCAACGCGATCTGGTACCGACGGCTTATCGAGGAATCTTTCGTCGGGGTAATAGCCGTGGTCGGGGCCGTATTGAAGTCGTAGCTTGTTGTGGTGCTCGTGGATGGCGCACCTCGAGAGTCGGATAGGCGTCAGATGTCGAGGTTGTCGTAAAAAATGGCGACTGCAGGGGACGACCGTCGGTCCAGTCGCGGCGTCGCCGCGTAAAGGTTTCTCCGTCGGCCCGAAGCCGGGATGGTAGACCCCTGAAGATTTCGCGGCCGCCGTCAAATCCACTCCACATGGGAGCTCATCCTCGCAGAATAAGGTGTACACGAGCACGCGACTGCAATCGGGCTCCGGTTCATTATTGCATTCATCTGCCTCGTCGTTCTTCTCCCAGTCATACGGCGTGTACTTCATGATTTTGGCACAGGATCTGCGAGATTCTTCGGCTGGATCTACGACCCGCCATCCCTCGCCTTCCTCGAAGAGCAGGTGCCGTGCCCTGGCTTCGAGAGCTTGATCATGCTTGGCGGCAAGTAAATCAACTGTCTCGAGGTTCGGTGTGATCAAAGTCATGACCAGGAAAGCGTCTGGTGGCATCGTCGCATCCACCCGCTTGTACAGCCAAGCCATCTCCTGCACAAGGTGCGAGTCGCGTAGGACCTCTAAGTATTTCCCTAGTTGTCGTCCCTTTGCTACCTTTTCTTTCCATGCCTCGAAGATGCGCCACTGGATCTTTGGCTTGGTCAGTGCAATGCGTCCGCGCCGCTGAAGTTTCTGGATCAGACCGGGAGGATCTGTGCCCCGTTTGTTCTCTTCAAAGCTCATGGCACTGAGTAGCGCCTCGAGGATATCCGGGAGTATCTTCTGAACCATTCGGGCCTTGTACTCGTACAGCATATGCGGTACCTGACCTTCATAGACCCATCTCCGTGGATCACGGAGCGGCAGGCACGGTAGGTGGTAATATCGGAATATGAAGTCGCCTGGCTTGTGACCCATGTAATATTTGACGGGCCTGAGTTTGGTATCATAGAGGCCTCGCCAGACAGGGCGCTTCAGAGGGTTGTTGTTGGGATACTCGCTCGGGACATAGTATTTGGAGGGGTTCTCGAGACGAAGCTCTCGGCGCTGGGCAAGGCGAATGTCTTGTCGACGAACGAGGATGAGTTCCGCTGTGTCGATGATGCGCTGCTCTGCTTGGGTGCGTGGACCTAGTTGACTCTCGATTCTTTCGCGCTCCGAAAGGATCTTGCCTTCCACTCTGTCGACCTGCTTGTCTTCCAACGATCTTCCCGGCTTGACACCATAGCGGGTATCGTCAGGAACAATAAGCTCGAAGTGGGCAATGTCGAGTTGTGACTTCCAGTCGGAGTTGCTGGTCTCAACATCGTCTAGATCCATGACGCTACACCGGGTTTGCGTAAGACAGTGTGCTCAAGGTGACAACTTTGCTGAGCATGCGATACCTGATCAAAGGTCCTGATCTTGAATCCTGCTCGGAGGGGGGTTGGAGAAGTGGAAGGAGATTTGAAGCTGAATTGCCTTGACTATATTCCATCGACAAGGCAACGGCCTGTTGAAAGCTGCCTTGCGGATCTGTTAGCCATTCTCGCAGTGAGTGCCTACCTGCACCCCGAGGTAGGAAAACCGCACCCAATGACTCAAGGCGGAGAGCTGACCGTATCACCACCCGCCATTGTTGCCGGGTCGAAAGGAGCATATAGTGCACGCTTTCCGTTGGTCCTGTGATTCCTGTGCCTTGCAAACTTGTGTCCTGCTGCGCTTTGGAGGCAGTCGTCTTTATTTTCCGATACTCTTTTGCAAAACGGAGATCTATTTTCACCAACTCCAGGCCATACGCATCACAGAAACTGCTTCGAGAATTCTCATGTAGAAGACAGCCATAAGTCTTCCCCCCCCCCACACAAACATGTTCGCGACCTGAATTGTCACACCCACGCAAAATCAACATTGATCGACAAGCCAGATCGTGAATGACAGCCCCCTGCTTACGTCAAAGCTTCGCGGCATAATTGATCGCAGCATGTTGCTGCAGGAGTTCGCCGAAAGCTGGAAGGTGGGACGAACCGAAGCCAGGGACTGGCCCACGAGGGCCACCGCCACACGGTCGGAGGCCTGGAAAAAAGGGAGCACCCCCACTTTTGCGACACTGTAGTACCCCGCCGTCTGTGACGTCGGTAGTTGAGGGGCAACCCTGGATCGAGGGTGCCTGGCCGATCTTCCACATGTCAACGGCCATGTCTAGCCTTATCTCCCGGACTTCTATAAGGACAGATATATCCAGGACCTTGCTTCGTTCAGGTACTCACACCAGATCGATCGCCAAGCGCTGTGCTCCTTTTTACAACAACATCCCACATTCCAAGCGACAGTCTACCCCGCGTTCGCCAAGAAGTATTGCCATCATGGCAGAAGCACTCAACCTCACTTATAAACCAGACGATGTATCTTACGATGATGCCGCTGCCTTTGAGACAGTCAAGACTCTTCTAAATGCTAGTTCCGACAGCTCGGTGACGGTGGAGACGACGGCAAAGGACCTCGCCGCCACCCTGCCAGGGCCTCCAGGATCCGATGGCACTGATGCGCACTATACGCTGTACAGCATGGTCATTGATGTCGCCAAGCAAATCCCGCACAATCACCCAGCGCTAGTCAGGCTCGTACGCACGGTCGAGGCGCTCTCGCTCTCCCCAAAGACCGTCTTTACCGAGACAACAGTACGTTGAACCCACGCGCCTTACCTGCCTAGGTCGTTGCTGACTTGAGGGGGCAGAATGGATTTGAAACCTCTCGCCGCTTGCACACCCTCGGATGGAACATTCGCGACGTCTTTGGCCGTAAGTATCCTTGAGTTCCTGTGCTTGTGTCTTCGAAGCTAACAGGAACAGCCCCGTTCGAGCCCAACCGTCCACCCACCGACGCCCAGCTTGCCGGCTACCTGAGCATCCAGGCGTTCACGGCGCTGCTCTGGAGTCGTGGCCTCATCCACGGTGACGACTTTGCACTGTGGCAGCTTCGCTCAGCGTTCGAGGAGGACGTCGAGGATGCGAAGGAGGCAGCGTACCTCTCGGCGGCAGCGGGTCTGTGGATCGTACATGCCGGGTCGAGGGTGTGGCAGCTCGTCACGGATGGACCGGCGCTGTCAGGGCCCGACGCAAGAAGCCTGCGAGCGGGCGAAAAGTTCGGAGGCGAGGGTGGTTATGGAAAGGAGAGGTGGGCCTTCTGGGTGAAGGGCTTTGATGCGAGAGCTGAGGGCGGCGATGGCGTTGCTGCAGGCATCGCGAAGAGGGCGGCCGCTGTGATGAAGGGGATTGCTGGTGATCTTTAGATTGGAGCAAGCGAATGCTAGAAAATAATCGGATAGAAATCATGGTGATTCCGTGAGCAATCCCTCGTGGGTTGTGTCCCATACCTTTGTGACTCTGTGTCTGAAAGCTTCCTTGAATGACGGGCACGGGCTCTCACCCAAGGTCGGCATGATACTATGTATCACTGACCTCCCGAAGAAGGCTGCTACCTGCCTGTCTTGGGTGGGTAGCACCGCAGATTTTAACATGTGAAGCACAATGATGTCACACGAGGGCACCTACAGATTCATCTGAATCCATCTGAAATATTCTCATCCAGGAACAGGCTCATTTCTGCCCATTGGCATACTGTCGTCTCGAAAACGGCTTGGGCCATGGTCAACAGTTCTGAGTCAAAAGGGAATTACCCCAGACTCTTGTTCGGAGCTACACAGCCGTAAACGTTGGCAAGGAGGGGAACCTGGGAAAGTGTAAAGGGAGAAGCCGCCTGCTGCGACCATCCACCGGCGGCCAGAACAGTCGGTATGATTGGAGCTCCCCATAAATTGGCGGCCACCCCGGCCAATCAACAGAGTGGAATCCAATCGGTTGCAGCGCCATAGGCCGATATCGCCACGCGAGAGGCGCCCAAACCCCACACTCGGGCGCATTCCAGCCAGTTGACTCATGACTGCTCGCCAACTAATATTTTTCCACCTCCGATCCGTCGGTCGCTTGCTCCTGCCCCAGCGCTGGTGTAGGCTCAGTCAGGGCCGGCAGGACCAAACTTGTGATCTTACTTTCGCCTCCAGCCCCGGAGCACCTTCTCACCCTCTCCATCCTCACAATCCCCGACCGCTCGCTCTCCCAATTGACATTCGACTTTGGTCGTGTCAAAGGTCCAATACTGACGGCACGCGTTCCTGGACACTTCGCGGAGCCTCTTGTTGTTGTTACCGAGCACAAAATTCCTTTCTCCCACCTTTAACTTGCTCCCTCGTCCGACCACATCCTCTCCCTCCTCCTCCGCCACCGACTACCCGACCGACCGCCCAACATGATGCACCGAAGTCGCCAGGCCAGCCGTGCCCTCCGCGCCGTCGCCAACAGGCCCTCCTTCATTCGCACCCTCACCACCTCTCCCGCCGTCTCTGCCGTCCAGGCCATCAAGAAGACTCCCTCCGGCGTGAGGAATCAAGCCACCTCCGCCACCAACCCGGCACCGTATGTCCTCCCGGCTGCCGTTCCCTTTTTTTTTTTTTTGGGTGACTCACGAACATGTTCCCCAACTGACAACCATCTTACTGCAGAGGAGATGTCCGGCCCCCTCCCGCCTCTGGCTTCAAGCAAGCGGACGAGCATGTCCAGCCTCTTGTCGACCCAAAGGCGCCCGAGATGGACGAGTCGTATGTAGCCGTCCGCACACACCTCACCGACGATGGCTAGCTCACATGTTCCTAGATTCATTGGCAAGACGGGTGGCGAGATCTTCCACGAGATGATGCTGAGGCACAACGTCAAGCACGTCTGTAAGTACAGTATCACGCACCTAGTACCGGTGGCAATCCGACTGACCCCGTCATCCAGTTGGTTACCCCGGCGGTGCTATTCTGCCCGTTTTTGACGCCATCTACAACTCCCCACACTTCGACTTCATCCTGCCCAAGCACGAGCAGGGTGCCGGCCACATGGCTGAGGGCTATGCCCGCGCCTCTGGCAAGCCCGGTGTCGTCCTCGTCACCTCCGGTCCCGGCGCGACCAACGTGATCACGCCCCTCCAGGATGCTCTCTCCGACGGCACGCCCATGGTCGTCTTCTGCGGCCAGGTCGTTACCACCTCGATTGGCAGCGATGCTTTCCAGGAGGCCGACGTTGTCGGCATCTCCCGCTCTTGCACCAAGTGGAACGTCATGGTCAAGAGCGTTGCCGAGCTGCCCCGCCGTATCAATGAGGCTTTCGAGATCGCGACCAGCGGACGCCCCGGCCCCGTCCTCGTCGATCTCCCCAAGGATGTTACCGCTGGTATCCTGCGGAGAGCCATTCCTACCGAGTCCGCCATTCCCTCACTGCCCAGCGCTGCGACGAGAGCTGCCATGAGCCTGAGCAGGAAGCAGCTCACCGCCTCCGTGAAGCGCGTCGCCGATCTCATCAACATTGCTAAGAAGCCCATCATCTACGCTGGCCAGGGTGTTATTCTGTCCGAGAACGGCCCCGAGATTCTCAAGGAGCTCGCTGACAAGGCCTCCATCCCCGTCACCACGACCCTGCACGGTCTGGGTGGCTTCGACGAGCTTGACGAGAAGTCGCTGCACATGCTTGGTATGCACGGTACCGCCTACGCCAACATGGCCATGCAGGAGGCCGACCTGATCATCGCCCTCGGCGCCCGTTTCGACGATCGCGTCACCCTGAACGTCGGCAAGTTCGCCCCTGGCGCCAAGGCTGCCGCTGCCGAGGGCCGTGGTGGTATTGTTCACTTTGAGATCATGCCCAAGAACATCAACAAGGTTGTTCAAGCTGTCGAGGCTGTTGAGGGTGATGTCGCCACAAACGTCTCCATGATGCTGCCTCATGTTGAGATCCGCTCCATGGCCGACCGTAGCGCTTGGTTCGACAAGATCAACGGCTGGAAGAAGCGCTGGCCCCTTTCCGACTACGAGCGCACTGAACGTGGTGGTCTCATCAAGCCTCAGACCCTGATTGAGGAGCTCAGCAAGATGACGGCCGATCGCAAAGATAACACCTACATCACCACCGGTGTCGGTCAGCACCAGATGTGGACCGCTCAACACTTCCGCTGGCGCCACCCTCGTTCCATGATCACCTCTGGTGGACTCGGCACCATGGGCTTCGGCCTGCCGGCTGCTATCGGCGCCAAGGTCGCCCAGCCCGACGCCCTCGTCATCGACATTGACGGCGATGCCTCCTTCAACATGACCCTGACGGAGCTGTCCACCGCTGCGCAGTTCAACATTGGCGTCAAGGTCATCGTTCTGAACAATGAGGAGCAGGGTATGGTCACGCAATGGCAGAACCTCTTCTACGAGGACCGTTACGCCCACACCCACTCGGTCAACCCCGACTTCCAGAAGCTTTCCGACGCCATGGGAGTTCAGAGCCGCCGCCTGGAGAAGCCTGAGGAGATCCAGGAGGCCTTGCGCTGGCTGATCGAGAGCGATGGACCCGCTCTCCTTGAGGTTGTTACGGACCGCAAGGTGCCCGTTCTGCCAATGGTGCCTAGCGGCTCCGGCCTGCACGAGTTCCTGACCTGGGACAGTGAGAGGGACGTGCAAAGGCGCAAGATGATGCGCGAGAGGACTGGCGGCAGACACGGCTAAACATGTCATGTTGGATCTTTTCCGTCTTCGGCATTTATTTGGGCTTCTCACCGGCGTCTACTCATTCTTTTTTCACCATGTGTTCTTGGTTAGCATATACCACCACGTCGCCCCTGTTCCGAGAAAGGGGTACGTATGCTGGGGATGGACTGTGCAGGGCCCTTCGTCATGGAAGGGAGGGTTGAAAAACAAAAGTCCTTTTTCTCATGGCCTTATTGATTTTGGCCAGTGATTGCCGCGCGCACTGCGAGATACGGCGATGTGTTTGTAGGAAAAGTTGACGAAGGGAATGCAAAAACTGTAAAACACTGAATTATGTGCCGCGATGCTTATGACGGTTGGGGTTGCACGTACCAAATACCATCCATGCGGCTTGTCGACTTGCGCTCGATGCCTAATGAATGTCACTGCTGTATCGAGAACCTGTCTCATCACTACGAGACCAACTGAGACCCATTCTCGTATCAACCACCCATATAATGGCGAAAGATCCACATCAAGAAACTGCCAGCTGCCTGTGTTCTGGGCAAGATATGGCTTCGATTCGGCTTAGACCCCGATCTAACCTGAAGCAGCGTTTGACTTTGTCTAGCAGTAGATGATGTCGTGCAAGTCCACCATGCCATCTTCGCATGTACTAAGACACCAAGCATTGACAGCTCAAAGCTCGGGTCTTGACTTTTGACCCTGCTCCTCGCTTGCAGTTCTCCGATCAACCCTTCACCCCCAAGGAATCGGTTCATTCAACGTTGACCCAAGCCTTGATATAGATCACACACCATGTCGCGGCCCGTACCCTATCTGACAGCGGTCGCCACCGGCGTCATCAGCGCAGCTTGGACCTCTGGTGCGTTGTCGCTGGCCCCCGCACTTCCGTCCGAGAGAAGACGAGCCCCCCGCTGACACACCGTCCAGGCGCCATCGCCGGCCTCTCCATCATCGGCTGCCCGGCAGCCCTCGACTTCCCGCACCACCTCTCGGCCGGCGTCTGGCGAGGCTTGTACGAGCACGGCTTTGCTGCCATGCCCAAGTTTGCCGCCACCACGGCGGCCGTGTACCTGTACGCCGCCTTCGAGGGCCGGCGGCGCACCAGCAGCAGCAGCGGCGGCGGCGGCGGCAGGGGGAAAGCTTTTCTCGGGTACGTCGCCGCCGCGGCGCTCACCGTGTCGATCGTCCCTTTCACCGTTGCCCTCATGAGCGAGACGAACCGGGCGCTCCTCCTTGCTGCTGGGGATACGAGCCCGCAGCAGGCGACGGAGAGGATTGTTGAGCTGATTGGGACCTGGAAGGCGCTTAATCTTGGGAGGAGCTTGTTGGCTCTTGCTGGCGCTGTTGTTGGGGCGTTGTCCTTCTTCAACACTCCTTGATTGCGGGCATGATGAAGGTGCTGGGCTGCACTGGGAGGGCGGGAGAATTAATGCCGTTTCCGCAATGGAGATATTGGCTGGGTCTTGAGACAAGTGATGGAAGCCGGGCAGGGCTCTCGACTCAGTCTGTAGTAGGTATCTGAGCTTGGCCCTCTCATAAGATGCATGGGCATCTCATGTCTTTCATCGAATGTCATGCTTGACGTAAGACTCGCTCCCTTTCAGCTGCGGGGCAGGCTGGTGAACGCGTTGCTTTGGTTCTTGATACACATGTGCTCAATGCGGCACAATAAATTTGTAGAACGAGGCTTCATAAGAGACCCTGTTGGGCGGTCATACTATGGAGTCGCGCCCTCACCCTCCGATTAGGTATTGACGGCTCGCCGACTGTGCATGTTTTTTGCTGGCCTTGAGCTCCAAGTGAATTGGCAGTCCCCAGATGCAAGGAATGTCTCGTCTGAAAGCACGGACTGACTACAGATCGTAGCTGTTGACCATGGAACTACATATCATCGGTACATCCCTGGTCATCAACGTCGCAAGCAGCCTGCGCTCCTGTCATCGATTGTCAAAGTACATCGAGCAGCTACAATGGCTGATTTTGAGCCTCGTTTCTCATTGCTGAAGGTCCTTGGTGGCTGGGGCATAGTCGGGTTAGTTCAATCGACCAAGAACAGCATGTCATAAGCTAACCATAGACGAGCAGTGGCCCTGGTTTATTGTACGTGGCAGAACAGTATGCTATTTTCACCCAAAGATGATCCCCTTACACAGTCCCCCAGCATGATGCGGAGCATGATATCGGGCACATCAACCGCTGCAGTCATTGGGGTGATTAGTGCGATGGCAGGCAGCGTCATTTGGGGCATAGACGCCGTACCCTTCATGGCCGGGTCTAGCATAGGGTTCGCCATCGGCAGCTTCAGGTGGTATCACGTCTCGCTTGTCGAGGCGCTGGTGCAGCTGAGGAAGCACCCAGCCCTGCTACGATTGCACATTACCTCCAACTTTCCTTGGGTTGCGCAGCTTCATGCCCATTATGTCGGATGGCTCACTGCTGACAGGTTCACGTCGTCGTGGGTGCTTAGCATGCTGGTCGTGGGCTGGCTGTCGGCCGAGCCTGCATTGCTGGAGATCAGGGACCGCCACGAGGCTATGCTCGTTGATCATTACATCGCGCTCGGGATGGGAAAAGTTGATTTCAGAGCAGAAAGACTCGAAGAGTAGCCTTGCTAAGCCCCTGAGGATCACCACGTTTGTCTCTTTTGCTCAGAAAGGTTACAAAATTTCAAGTGTCATAATCCCAGGCACTGATCTTAAATAAATTCCAGGGCACTTGTCCACATCACAAAATCAAGCATGTGACACACAACTGAAGCGAGCAAAATTTGAGCATCACGGTCACCAATGACTGCGATTAGAATGATGAGTGAAGAGGCCATTTTTGCAATAATGGGCATAGAAGGAGCTGATATTGAGTCTCAAACAGTCATTCTGGCACCTTTCCTTTTTTGCCCATTGCAGGATTCCAATCCCCTAGACAAGCCGACCAGTGAGCTGGACGCCTACCTCTAATCTCAGGTCAGTCTTAGAGCCTCGCTCACAGCCTTCTGATAGACAACCCATACCTAGCACCTCGTCTTGGTGGGGATAAGGGTGCAACCGGCTGCGCCTGGGCTGCACGAGTTATAATGGCAATAACCGCTGGTGCACAGGTATCCGGCTCCACAGCCTCTCTTCTCAAGACTTTCTCCGCGGGTCTCAGCCTGAACGGCAGGCGCGGCCGCAGCCAGGCCAGTGACGAGGAGAATGGCGGCGATGTTGAACTTCATCTTGTTGAGCTTGGATAACGCAGATGGCGATTATAGCTGAGGTGTCTGATGGCGATGCAAATGTGTCCGAGTCTGAGTTGACGATCGAGCAGGACAAAGAGCGGACGAGGTCTCCTATTTATGTTTCTAATTTCCTAGCCACAACTCATGCACATGGACATACAATCCTGCCTTGGAAGAGTTTCCAAGGTGTCTGCAAGCTGCATAGGCTAACACTGGTCCCAGGAAAGGTGAGGCCTTCGCTGAGGGGCTGTACGTGGACCTTCAGCAATTAGCCGACGAGAACACTTGACGTGTCAAGGCATCACATTAGGCTAATCTTTCTGAGATGCACCGAAGGTGTTGCGATTCTGTCCAACAATTAGCAATATTCTTCTTCAGGAAATCGACAGGCTAAACTGTAAGTTCTTGGCGCATTGCGCCCCAGAGCCTCAAAAGCAGCAATAGCTGAAGGAATCCTATATATTATGCCCAGACAAGTCGGCCTTGCAGCTGTGGAATGGCCTTGGCGGTTGGGCTCGAAAAAAGTTTCCTAAAACGAAATAGCCGTGAACTGCCTGAACCTTGGTACTCATGGAGTCACGGAATGTCGTTTCAGGTAGCTCAGTTGTGCGGCGCGGTTCCGCCAAGTCCGCCCTGTTTGCTGGTCACGCAACATAGCATCGTTGCATGACGCTGTCGACGTCAGTCGATGTCAGTATTGCGGCAAAAGTCAACACTACCTTGGCGAAGAATCCAAATGTAAGTATAAATGCTACCGAGCTGAGTCGCGATCTTTGTCAACCTAGCTCTTCAGACTTGCAGTGTTCATGATCTCACTGCGGTCGAGACGAGATAACATCCTAGTGAAGTCTCGCATGTACTCAGCAGCCCGGCGGGAGGGTCCTTCGTGAGCTTCAAAGGGGCAGTTGAGGAGCGCTACGGCTACATCCCGGACCTTGTACGCCTACCTTATGAGAAGTAAAAGTTAATCGCTAGTGTTATTGGCTTGACGCAAGAAAAAGGCGTAAAATGCACGCCGCGCGGCTAGACTTACCAAGTATAGTCCGTTCGGCTCAATATGTACTTGCTGAAATGCTGTGCAGCAAGTGAAGCATCTGGCGGCAAATGTCCTCACGAGACGCCCAATTAGCACGCAGGGCCGCTGACGCGGAGGCTGTGTCTGATGTTACGCTGGCGTCTGATACCTGCTGCTGAAGTATCAAGTCGATCTTCTCGAGAATGTAATTCTGCAGCCAAAGATGGGTGAAGTGTAAGTTGGCGCGTGTAATCTCCAACTGGGCGTGAGCAACCTCGGGAGAGTCTACGTTCTTGTCAAATTCGTCACGGCTCTGATGGCCGAGCTCGGCGACGACCCATTGCCTCATTACGGCAGGTAGGTCGCCAAGCATATACTGGAGTTTCTCGAGCAAAGTCTGCAATCGACAGAGGCGAGCCTCGGGTGCGCGCTTGGGGCTGCAGTCACAACTTTCGTGGAACAGTGCTTCCTGCATCGCGGTGAAGAAGACCTGAGAGGCCGCAATAAAGGCGCTAATGCTCGTAAAAGGACTGTCTGCCCTGTCGTAGGGCCTGCCGTCGCCAGTCAACGGAGACATCGGGTCCACTGTTACAGGATCGAACACGGTTTGCTCGGTGATCATCTCATCCTCAACGTCGAAGGGTACCAAGGCTTGGTAACTCGTCACCACTGCTTGTCAACGAGATTGCTAATGCAAGCAGCGGTCCATCGCTGATGCCTTGTATATGTGCGGTTGGTATGTCGGCGGCACCATCTGTGGCTGGGTTACCTCTGCCTGCCGTAACATCCCAGCGATTGGTCGTGGCGTATTCCTGTTCTGCTGCAGGCCCTGATCCCGCTGCTAGCTTTACCTGGCTTCCTGATGTCGCCTGAGAGCCCTCGTTATCGATGAAGCAGCCGATCTGCTCGCAAAACACCACGCTGGTGGCAACAGTGCTGAGCCGCTCGTCGTGTACCAACTATCCGAGATTGAAACGACTATTACGGCCGAGAAGGACGCTACCTCCAGTGCATCGTATGCCGACATCGTCAAGACGCCCGGTAATAGGCACCGCCTATTTATCTCCCTTACGCTGGGTTTCTTTGCGCAGTGGGTCGGCAATGGCGTTGTGTCGTATTATCTGCCCCTTGTGCTCGACTCGGTAGGCGTTAAGACGGTCACCGAGCAGACCCTAATCTTGGCGTGTCTTAACGTCTGGAACCTCGGCTGGGCTGTCGCCGCCGCCATGGACGTTGATCGCCTGGGCCGCCGCTTCTTGTTCATGAGCTCTGGGGTCACTATGCTGACGAGTTTCATTATCGTGACAGGCCTCGGCGGCGCATTTGCGAGCTCCGCATCTTCGTCCGTTGGCATGGCTGTTATTCCATTCCTGTTCTTGTTCTTCGCCGGTTACGATATTGTCCTGTAAGTTATTGCATGGAGCACGCGCAAATAGAGCATTGCCTGACGTTGTGTGATTCTTCTAGAACCCCTTTCCTCACGGCGTATCCATGCGAGATTTGGCAGTTCAGCCTGCGCTCGCGTGGCCTCACCGTGGCTTGGTGCACAGCTGTGGCGTCCATCTTCCTCAACACGTTCGTTAATGCGATCGCCCTGGACGCTGTTGGCTGGAAATACTACTTTGTCTTCATCGTCGTGCTATCGCTCATCATTGTCACCGTCTTCTTCGGGTACCCTGAGACGCGAGGATACACTCTCGAGCAAATGGCCATAGGCTTTGATGGGGCTGATGCGCCAGTCAACTCCTCAGATCTGATGGAAAAGAACGCGGCGGTAAGCCACATTGCTGATGCGGACCAACAAGACTCTGCCGAGCACAATAAGGCGTAACGGTGGTGGTGGTGATTCGAAATGACTACAGTCGCCCCTGTGGACTATTTTTGTAGCTCTGAAGGTTGGTGGGCATTCTCAGTGGGTTGGGTGAGAGCTGGAATAGTTGCACTGTTGCAAGACTGATTCTCTGTTGCGTCCGTTCCAGTACCTCCTTGATCGGTAGCCTGCTGCGTGGTTGAGCTTTTATCAGTGCTTGATTTGTCTCCCCATCGCTCCGACACCCAGTGCAAGTCTCTCTCATGCCAGTCTGGCATGTACAACCACCTTTCCAGGTCGGAACTCCATCCCCTGTTCGGGAGGTAGGACTCAAGCATGTAATAATTGTCCCTGTGGAACGGAAAGTCCATCGTCGGCGGCCCGCTGCGCTGCAGGAACTCGTCCGTGCCGGACATTTCGTCCTCCTTTGCCATTCTGAATCGCCGCCGCCGGTTGCCCTGGTTGGCAGCGTGGCGGCGGATAGATCTTGTTGTAGAGTTGAGATGGACTTCCAGCACGCGAGCATACCACAGAGGTGAGACCAAGGCTCTCTGAACAATTTTGGCGTTCTCGGCGACGAGATCCTCGTTCCAGACGGGGAACTTGCCACGGGGGATCATGGGGATGGGCGTGCCCGAGTCGAGGTTTGGCTGCCAGTGCGCAAAGTCGACGACCAGACAGAGAGAGTTCCAGCGCAGGATGCAGGTGAGACACGTGCAGATGCACGTTGGGTCGGCGGGCAGAACGTGCTGAAACTTTTTGTGGATGCCCATGCCGCCTTGACGTTCGGGGTGAAGCAGTGCTGGGTGGATGGAAGGGTCAATGTCCTTCATCAGGGCTGGCAGCCTGAGACATGGCTCAAGACAAGCATATCGGCGGGCGATGACTTCTTTGACAAGGACGGATTCCCAGGTGCGCAGGTACTTACGCATGGATGTGCAAGTATGCTGCAGACGAAGGAGATCGCTGGGCCGAAGATGTGCGAAGATGCTCAGGAGGAGTTCGCCCGGGAGCGGGAAGAGGCCAGTACCGATGCTTTTTGGTGGGCGTTTGCTGGCCTTCTTTTCAAGCCTCTTCCGCTGTCTCTCAGTCCGTTTCGACAGGATCGTGAGGTTGCCGTCGGCGGCGACTCGTTCTGAGCTAGTCACAGGAGGTGGCGGGCCAGGGACCATATGAAGCTCGTGGGCAGAGTCCGATCCCCCACCGTCGAGTGTCAGGATCTCCAGATCTTGCGATAAGTCATCATTTGTGAAGACCGTGAACCCATGCTCCGACGCTGAATGGCCAGTATGAGAGGCAGTCTCTTCTGTCGCCGGTACTGAGATTGTGGCCGGGAGATCCGGAACCGACATCTCTACAGAGGCGGATGCAGTGAAGGCCTCTTTCGGCATATTGACTGCCATGAAGTCGGATCAGAGGGCAGCCAAAGCGGGTTGACGAAACGACGCGAGGTATGAAGTTGGGCTCTTGAGGTTCAATTGCCACCACATTCCATCATCCAATTGGTACAAGAATGGTGGGGTCGATTCCGCCAATCAATCTCTGCTATCACGACAGCTGGTCGCAGCTTCCTCCAAGCTTAACGACAGCTGGCAGCGGCGATACTTAAACGAAGGAAAGTTATCAAGAGTTCAAGATTGCAACTTCACTCGTCTCTCGTGCAAAAAGCACCACCTCATGCCTGGCTGTGTACGGAATATAAAGTAGCGCAATGGATCTTTCTGCACTGAAACATGCTGCAATCTCCTCATCATCATTTAGTTCCTTCAACCAAGATTTATCATCATTCACGGCAGAGGCTGCCAGCAAATCCGCCCAGGTATCTTCGTCAGGTCAAAATCCAGGAAACCGCAAGAAGCTCCCAATCTTCACATCGCAAGGATCACGGCCAAAGAAAACATCGTACACAAGCCCACTGCTGCCTGAGCCCATGTGCTCCGTCTCGATCGCCATGCGCGCCGTCTGCGCCTGACAGCGATAACTCCCAAACCTGTACTCAACGATGCCGACATCCTCAGTGCGATACACATCAATGACACTGTCAACCTGATACTGGAACTTTCCGTCGAAATACCGCGTTAGCTCTCGGGCATTCACAAAACTCGGATGCCCTTCGATGATGAGCACACGGCTCCGATCCCCCGCGTGCGGCTGCGGCGCCGACTTGATGCGATTTCGCTTGACGCGGGCGCAATGGGTACCGACAATGAAGCCCCAGAAGAATGTGTCGCTCATGAACTTGTCAGCGGCCCAGAGGTCGAAGAAGACAATCTTGGCGGCTGCAGTATAGTGTCGGTTGCGCGGGTCGGGCGGGTTGATGACGCAAGCATGCACGCGGCCCGTGTTGCGGATGCAGCGGAGGAGCTGGTTGTGTGTCACGTCCGGAGGCAGGTCGATGATCCAGAAGGAACAGTTTTCTGCGTCGGGAATGGCGGCGCTGTGATTGCCCGGGAGGCTTGGGTCGCCGCGGTATTTGACCGAGATGCCGTGTTGGGCCTTGAGGCGGGCCACCTCCCATGGGTCTTGGTGAGGGTTGACGAGGCCGGCAATGGCGTTGCTAGGACGAAAGCATGTCGTAGTCCGCGGTTGGAGCTCTCCCAGCTGCACAGGCCTCCAGGCTGGCGTATGGCCGCTGTGAGACTCAAAGTCTGAGAGGAGAGTGTCGGTGCGGTTGATCCTGGCCTGCGGCAGTGGCGTAGCGTGATAAACGGAACTTGGGCTTTGGAACTGTTCAAATAAGCCATCCGTACTACTCTGAAGGGCCGTCGGGCAGGTAGTCGAAGTGGCAGAGTCTGAAGAAGACCCTACATCGTCGGCGCTCTCACGAGCCAGCAGAAGCGACGGCTGTGGTGCGATCAAGCCTGTGTCTTGATCTGATCTGTTTTGGAATGTGGAAACCATGCCCGACAATGGCGATGATGAGAAGGCACCTGAAGCTCGAAACCGTGATGGACGAATACAGGGTGAGCGCTCACCGGGGCCATACCTCTGAGGACGATACGGCCCGTCTATGATGCCGGTTGAGGCTCGAGAGTTCTGCATACTAGGGAAGATCCGATCGTCGAGCAAGGTCTTTCTGGCTAAGCTTTGGTAAGCTCGATGTTTGAAGTAGAATATAAGATATCTGTGTTAAGTGTGTGTGGTGGTTGGCAATAAGCAGGAGTAAGTGACACGACGTGATCTGGTTATTTTCGGTTTTTGTAGTTATTCATCCAGGCTTGGAGATATCAGTTTGCCGAACAAAGACGACCCTGGCAGCATCCGCAGCCTGCGTGCCTCGCCCAGAAATCGTCTGGACCTTCGCTCTTGATCGATGAGACATCATGATGATTTGCAACAGGACAAGGGTCAAAGACGAAAGATGAAAGTGCTGCCGTAGAGAAAAAGACCTGGTGTGAAGCGCCAAATGCTTCAGCGGCGAGTGAATGTGGGCCAAGACATGAAAGAGCAGGGTGAACCACCAAGTTCCCCAGCTATTAAAATGCTTCCACGTGCTTCGAACCTTTGATTGAGTTAAATTCGACAGATTGCAAATAGCTTCCACCATATTCTTGGACTAAATCTGCGGGTATCACCTTTGGCATACTTTTATTGCCGAAGTCGCAAGCGACCACTCAGTAAATCATTGACATTTCGGTGGGCTGGATTGGTCTTGAAGCAGTTCATTATGACGGGCACCTATGGTACTGGTAAATGAAATTTGATCAGATTCATACTGTCAGGTCAGTACTTCAAATTCGGCCTGATGAGGGGCTAGTTTTCATCTCATCATTTCCTTGACATGTGCATCTGCCTCTAAACTACGGAGAATCCCAGCTGATAACAGAGCACTGTCTGTTGGGTATTGCGTAGATATAGATGGAAATTCTGAAATTATCAGCAGTGGCTGAGTGGCTGAGGGCATTCCAGAAGGATATTTTACGTCGAAACTAGCGCTTTCCGAAGGGGCCAATCATGTTACACGTGTGGGGGCTGTAAGAAAATTGCATGCAGTAACGTTTCTTATTGACAGAGTTGCAGCTGCAAGAGGTGCCGCATGCCTGCGGCAGAGAATGCCACGGAGCCCATATCGAGCGTTTTCAAAGCAGGGACGGCCACAGCAGCGCCGATGGAGAGGAAGGCGATGGCAAGAGAGAGCTTCATTGTGCTTGGGATATGGCTGTGTAAGATCGTTGGTAACAGGTGAATAAATGTCTTGGCTGTCTTGGTTGCCATCAAAGTCCTCCTGGTATGAAGGCTTTGTGATCTTTAAAAGGCCCCAGGAGAAACTTCAGCTCGATGATTGGAGGCTACCCGAAAATAACCGCAGTCAGACCAATATCAAAATGTGATGATTTCTTTTATTACATGCCATTGCCCTTGGTGGAAGAAGCCCAAATACCCAGAAGCGGCCGATTCCGCATCTCAATCAGTGGCAGTGTCCTTGGCAACATGCCATTGTCGCTGTAGCTGTGAGGCGCAGATGGAGAGCTTAAGCACGGGGCATCAACGGCAATGGACATTCCCTACCGAAGTACGGGCCGAAACAGACCGCAGATGTTCCTTAAAGCTTGCGGCATGGATAAGCGGAAGGAGAACTGACCCTTTATTGAGCGTATTTTGGCGCAAGCGGCCCAATCCTCCCAGGACCTGCACAACGCAACATGCAATGAATCATACCGAGAAGGGTCATCTCGTAAAATAGAGCTGAATTGACTTAACGGGAGGGCATTTGGACCTGCCCAGCTGCCTCGGGAGAAAATTAGTCTCTTGGCGATGACAACTCTCGTGTAGTAGCCGTCGCCTGGATATTTTAACCCATTGCAGAAGATGTCATTCAACTGCAATATGCAGCCCATAAGGGCCTCGCAATCAAGGGTTGAGAGATTGATAATCGAGGTGCACGCTGGAAAATAAGTCTTTGGCTTCGTCACCGACGAAGCTTGTAAAAGGCTAGAAGGCCAGGTGAACATGTAATGTTCCGGATGCGAGTAACGCTAGGGGATCACAGCACGGTGATCACGGAACCCCGATCACCAGCCCGGATGATCCTTAGTCACATGACTAGAAACTATGATATATAAAGAATTCCCATGTACCCCCTAATATCTTAGGAGAAGGTATCTTAATATAATTCCTCGAATTGAGCGTTTGAGATATGAGATCACCGGTCCCCGCGGCCACGACTATATCACATAGAGTTTATCTAGGTATTTGGGTTAACCCGGGCAGTTTAACCTATGGGTTCTCTCTGGGTAGAAGCTGGGGTCTATATATGGCCCGTGCCTGTTTCTAGCCCCTAGGATATCGTACTAATAGGGGCGTTAGATGGTTAAGAGGGGAACAAAAAAATCGAGACTCCACAACCACTACCTACTACCTACTAACCCGTTAATCGGGCTGCTACCCTCGGCTTTCCGAGGCGCTATCGTAGTCAAAAGGACGTTTTTTTAATATAGGGAATTTTTTGAGAATTTAGGAAATCGGCTATACTAATGATCTTGGATTTTTTAGGGGTATTATAGTGCTAATATCTTGTAAAAATAGTAGTTATAGTAGTTGCAGTATTAATAGAGTCTCGTTTTTTTTGTTCCCCTCTTGATAGTGTATAAGGCACTCTAACAGGTATATAATGACATTACTATATCGCCAGACCCAAAAATACCCAGGCTCCACCACCTATTTGGGTTTTGGGTTTCTTTTTGGGTAGCCCATTTAGCCCAAAACTCATTTAGGTACCTAGTGAAGTAATGGGTTTTGGGCGGGTTTGGGTTCTTACGCTAAGTCTCTGGGTATCCAAGCCTAGGTAGCTCAGCAGCTCTGAATACCTGACAAGACCTCTGCTACCGATCTGACATGCCAGGCAAGAAGCCTACTATGAGCCGAAAAGAGAACATCTTCTTTCACGCCGACTTCAGCCTCTGGCACCTTCTCAGGCTAGCGGAACGGCTCCGACACCGACCGTGTACCTGCAAGGGCTCTCAAATCCCCAAAGCGGGCGCTTCAAACTGGGCTATATTTCTTGAGTTTGACGATGGCCTCGAATGGGTGTTTCGGGCGCCCTGCTCATCCTACGCTGCCACTCAAGGGTTCACCGGGCGTCTCCTAGCTAGCGAGGTTGCTACCCTCAAATACGTCAGAGAGCACACTTCTATTCCTGTACCAGAAGTTTTTCATTACAGGTATCTTCTTGAAGCTCCAAGCCAGTCAGTCTCTTGAGCTTACGGTCGTTAGCCCCACCTGCGAAAATGACATCGGCATCCCATTCATCCTAATGAGCAAGGCTCCCGGTCATCCCCTTGCGAAGTACGACTGGCGAACACGTACCCATGAACCTTCTGGACAGAGCAGTTCTGCGATGCTTCCACGAGTTTTGACGAACGAACAGCAGAAAAATATCATGCGCCAGCTTGGATGCTACGCTAGCCAATTATTCGGTCTCCGCTTTCCGACCATTGGGTTGCTCTTTGAAGGCGAAAAAGATTATTACGTCGACGAATGTCTTTCTCCCGGGCACGTTCTAGAAGACCGGGAAACGATTGAGGATATCCCGCACGGTCCATTTCATCAGGAAGCAGACTATTACTCCTCCCTCGCCGCAGCCCTTCATCTTCATGCCGAGCAGCTTCCAATGGGCCACCATATCCTTCGTGCGCCTATTCCCGTCCCACAAGAATACCCCAACTTCGCCAAGTACTACACCGCCACTGATCGCTGGAATGACTTCGCGGCCCTTGGGGGATTAGTGGAGTCTAACACCAATCGGTTACAGTATTGCCTCGCGAGCCAGCTTCTTCGGGACTCTATCATCCCCTGCATGGCCCGTCCTGTCAGTCAATCAGCTCCTGGCTTCCCCCTTCATCACCACGACATCAGCGTCCAGAATCTGTTCGTAGACGATGACCTGAACATAACGTGTGTCATCGACTGGGCGTTTGCCTCTACTGGCCCGCCAGCCCAACTTCTCGCCACTCCGGGCCTACCACACCCTAGGGACTTGGTGTTGGATTCGTCCCTGGTAAGTGCCTTCCGCTTCGGCTTCGAGACCGAGAACAGGGAGATCGGTGGGTATGTAATCGAGCCCGACCTCTGGATGGTCGGCCAGATGGTCTCACGGTTCATGCGCTTGGTGAACCTGGATGCATTACAAGATTACAACCACCTGGAGGCCCTCTGCGCGCTTGTCTGGGAACCCAGGACTCCTGGAGAAGACGCGGACGACACCAGTAGTCTGCCAGCTCTTTTGGCAGCACGAGCAACGAGCCACGATGCGATCATACTGGCCGGTGCGCTAGCAGATGACGACGAGGCTGAAAGCGAGATCCGTCGGCGGGAGCAGGAGTACTTCGGCGCAGTTGGCGCTGAGAGACTTGCGTTAGCTCAGAAGTTGGCAGTTGCTGCCAAGATGAACCCACGGTTTGTGGCCGATAAGCGACTCTGGCGTTGGATTGATGCAGTCACGGAGTATTACGATAGCGAGATCTGATGGGCTGGGGTTTGAAGGGTATCACGATTTCTCTCTGAAAGTGCCTGGAAGACGAGTGACAAAGGATTAATTCTCAGGAGAAAACACCAGAGCGACTGGATTACTTCCATCAGTGGGCTACAGACCGTTCCAAAACCGCTTGAGTCGTCCTCCTCTAAGCTCCCCTCTAGACCGGTGCTCGAAAATTCCTGCCCAACAGACGGGAATCGAAGGCGAACAATGATTCAAATCAGCTGCCTGCGCCTCCTTCGGCGAGCATTTTGGAAGGAGAACTCGTACAAGCAAGGTAGCTGTTGATCTGTTGCGTGTCACAACCGAGAATCAAGATGGAGCCAGTGAGCTGCGCAACCAACCTCTGGGATACGAATAGTGATATGAGACTCCACCAAAGGCCAAGGGTGAGTGACCATCCAAAGCGACAACACGGACCTCCTTGTCGGTGTGGAGAGGCCGGTAAGCTGGACCGTCTCGGTCAAGTCGCGGAGCGCCACAGTCTCGGTCAGCGTGGCTGAGGGCGACTGTTCCTGCCTACCTTACCTACCTAGGTCCCTACCTTAGGTAGGCACCTCAGGTAGGGACCCAAAACACCATAATCTTGCCATCGACAACACCACCAATATCATCGACATTGGGACCGCCACTATCGCGATCTCGAGCGAGCCTAACAGCCACGGCCCAAGCACAGCACCGCTCGTCCGGACCACCGGGAACAGTGGGGACCTTGGCCAGCTCAGCCAACCCCAGCTCGCCGAGCTTCGTCCGGCCGAGCTGAACCGAGAAAGCTGCTCGCATCTACGGATGTTTCAAAAAAGACCCGCCTGTCAATTAATGCGCTGGAGCTCCCTCAAGCCCGCCTTCAGAGCTCTAACCCCCGCTTGCTTAGCCGGGTCATCTTGGCACCTGGCGACACGTCCCTGGGCGATGCAACCCTCGAAAGACAACATCATGATTGGTCAATTGAGTGATATCCGGGGCCTCCCTTCGAGTTGCCTGGGCTCAGCACCCGGCCGCCAGCTGCCCGTCGACAGCACCAATACGTCACAGGTCTTTGGAAGTGGGCTGATGGCGCCCTGAGCAACAACCACAATATAAAGCTTGCTTCGTTCCCACTTGGCGGCTGTCCCGGAGCGCCTCTTCGTTCCTTTCTCGTTCAACTCTGCCGAATAGCTCGTCTGCTGCCTGTCGGATTGCCCGTTGGAAGCTGCTGCTGGTCGACCTTCGCGGACAGCTTGCTCCGACTGACAACCCCCCTCTCCCCTCCACCACTGAACAACTGGAAAGCCAGTCGCACAGCGCCAATGGCCTCACCAATCGCTTCGGCGGCCCTCAAGGCCCGCGTGCGCCGCCCTTCCATGCTCAAGAAGCTGACCCAACCCGATAAGCTGCTACAGCACTTCCCCAATGGCGCGTACATCGGCTGGTCTGGCTTCACCGGTGTCGGCTATCCCAAGAAGATGCCCACCTACCTCGCCGATCATGTCGAGCAGAACAACCTGCAGGGAAAGCTCAAGTACTCACTATTCGTGGGCGCCTCATCCGGTGCTGAGACGGAAGACCGTTGGGCTGGTCTCGACATGATTGACCGCCGAAGCCCCCACCAGGTTGGCAAGTCCATCGCCAAGGGCATCAACGAGGGTCGCATTTCATTCTTCGATAAGCACCTGTCCATGTTCCCCGTCGATCTCATGTACGGCTTCTACACCAAAGACAGGCCAAACGACAAGCTCGACGTTGTCGTCGTCGAAGCGACCGACATTATGGAAGACGGTAGCATCGTTCCAGGTGCGTCCGTCGGTGCCACGCCCGAGCTCATCCAGATGGCCAACAAGATCATCATCGAGGTCAACACATCGCTGCCCAGCTTTGAGGGCCTGCACGACATCACTATGACTGAGCTCCCCCCCAAGCGCAAGCCTTACCTTATCATGGGTGTCGAGGACCGAATCGGTTCCACATCCATTCCCATTGACCCGGAAAAGGTTGTGGGTATCATCGAGTCCGATTACCAAGACCAGACATCCCCCAACACACCCGCCGATGCCGGCAGCAAAGCTATCGCCGACAACTTGATTGAGTTCTTCGAGCACGAGGTTTCGCGCGGCCGACTCCCCGCGTCCCTGCTGCCTCTGCAGTCTGGTATTGGCAACATTGCCAACGCCGTCATTGGTGGCCTCTCCGAATCCAACTTCAAGAACCTCAAGGTCTGGACCGAGGTCATCCAGGACACCTTCCTCGACCTCTTCGATTCTGGGCGCCTTGACTTTGCCACTGCTACGTCGATCCGTTTCTCTCCCGATGGCTTCCGCCGCTTCTACGACAACTGGGAGGACTACCACGGCAAGCTCCTTCTCCGCAGCCAACAAGTGTCCAACTCACCTGAAATTATCCGCCGCCTTGGTGTCATTGGCATGAACACCCCTGTCGAGGTTGACATGTATGCGCACGCCAACTCGACCTGCGTCATGGGCAGCCGTATGCTTAACGGTCTCGGAGGCAGCGCCGACTTCCTCCGCAGTTCCAAGTACTCCATCATGCACACCCCCAGTACAAGGCCCTCCAAGACCGACCCTCTCGGTGTCAGCTGTATCGTGCCCATGTGCACGCACGTCGACCAGACGGAACACGACCTCGACGTCATCGTTACGGAGAACGGTCTCGCCGACGTGCGTGGTCTCAGCCCCCGCGAGAGGGCGAGAGTCATCATCAAGAAGTGCGCCCACCCCGTATACCAACCCATCCTGGAGCGCTACCTCGACAAGGCCGAGTTTGAGTGCCTCAAGAAGGGCTGGGGCCACGAGCCACACCTGCTGTTCAACAGCTTCGACATGCACAAGGCGCTTCTGGAGGAGGGCAGTATGCAGAAGGTTAAGAGCTTTTAAGCAAGACGTGACGAGAGAGGTAGGGAGGTGCGAGGCAGCCAGTGACCATTTTTAGTTGCAGAAACGGCTCACACAAAGTTTTGGTACAGCTCTACGGAGCTGACAGACCGCTTGGGATCACGAACTTGATCTAAGCCGTCATTTTCATAGACATTTCTCGAATTTACTTGTTCAAATCATGACTCGGTGTGTCTTTTTGTCTACGCGTGTTTTCTATCCGTCTACTTTTGGCGTCGAGGGCTCTGCCGGGATGACAGCCTCCTCTGCTGATACGCCCTCCTTCCACAGGTAAGACGCCGCGACATGCTCGTCCAGAGGCTGCTTCTGGCCCTCACGTCGGTAGAAGTTCTCGCGGTATGTGCCCGCCGGTACGGCGTAGTCGTCCCAGAAGAGGCCGCGCTTGCGCAGCTCGGGCAGCAGCAGCTCAATGATGTCCTCGAAGGACTGGGGAAAGAGAACATAGGCCTGGCAAGGTCAGCGACTGTATTCATCAAGCATCCGCTGTGGCAACTCACAAAGCTGAAGCCATCGACATACGCCTCCCGCACCCAAGTCTCCAGACCATCAGCCACCTGTTCCGCCGTACCGACAAGCACAGGCCCATTGCCGCCGATGCTCACATGCTCAGCAATCGTGTGCTTGGTCCACTTGGCCGTGCCGGGCGAGAATCGCGCATACCCTTCCACCGTCGACCGCACGGCGTTGCTCTCGACCTGGCGCAGCTCCTGCTCGTCGCCGTACTGCCCGAGATCGATGCCCGTCCACCCGCCAAACAGCGCCAGCGCGCCCTCGAGCGACGCGTACTGCCTGTAGTCGGCGAGCTTGGCCTGCGCCTCCTCCTCCGTGCGCCCGAGGATGGGCGTCACGAGCGCGAGCACCTTGATATCCTTGCCGTTGCGCCCGTAGCCCGACTCGGCGAGCGCGCGAATCTCGGCCACGTTCTTGGCGCACACGGCGGGCGCGTGCGCCGACACGAAGATGGCCTCGGCGTGCTGCGCGGCGAACTGCTTGCCGGCACGGGAGGCGCCCGCCTGCAGCAGCAGGGGCGTCCGCTGCGGCGAGGGCTGGGTGATGTGCGGGCCGGGGACGTTGAAGAAGCGGCCGTCGTGGTTGATGGGGCGGACGAGCGCGGGGTCGGTGTAGATGCCGCGAGCGCGATCGAGGACCACGGCGTCGGTGCGCCAGGAGGAGTTGAGGAGCTTGTAGACTACGCGGATGTACTCTTCCGCTTGGGCGTAGCGGTCGTCGTGCTGGAGGTGTCAGTGGGCTCATGTCGTTCTATGGGCAGGGATGCATACCTGGGGCTGTTCGGTGAGGCCCATGTTCTTCGCGGCCGAGTCGAGGTAGCTGGTGACGATCTGCACACGTCAGTTGAAGGCTCGTCAGACTTGTGGGCAGGAGAACACCAACATTCCAACCGAGACTGCGGAACTATCGTCAGCACCTTCTCTACTTTCGCGGGAAACAAGCCAGACTCACCGTCCTCCCGTTAGGTGATCCAATGTTCCGAGTCTCCTCGCCAGGTGGTATGGCTGCTCATAGGTCGTGGACACTGTAACACCGAACCCGATGCTCTCCGTCGCAGCCGCCATGGCTGACACCACCGCCAATGGCTCATTGACAGGCCACTGCGCCCCAGACGTGATGGCGGGCTCGAGCGTCTTGTTGTAGACGTCGTAGCCACCCAGGACATCGGCAATGAAGACTCCGTGGAACTTTGCCTTCTCGAGGAGCTTCGCGAGGTCGACCCAATGCTTTGTCGAGTTGAAGTTGTGAGACTGATCGTCAGGATGGCGCCAGAGACCGGGGGACTGGTGACCACTGCACATCTCGACAAAGGCGTTGACGATGAGGCTCTTCTTTGGGGTGGCCCCGGAGGGCTGGGAAATGTTGGCGTCGCCCATGATGATTTTCGTTTGGATGTTCTCGTGAGTATCTGCGATAGGATACCAACGTGACTATAGATGCGACTGGGACTGGCAGTAATCGAACGACTGTCAAGGCAATGCAGAACGTGTGATGTCGAGGGGGTAAATCTGCGAACACTGACGTTTTGAACACGATCGACAAGACTTCACGATCAGCCGAGGGAAAGCGCGTCACGCTCGATTCAATGTTCCAGAGCTTCCACGCACTAGCCCACGCCAGAACGACGCGTGCTGCGCCGACGACGCCGATGGATAACAGCCCCGATTATCGGCCGGCGGGCGCCGGCCCCGCATGAATGGGGCGATGGTGCCATCGGAGCTCCGGGTGGCGTCAGTCCTCCGTGGACTCGTTTTGAACAGCTCAAGCGCGAGAGGTAACGTTCCAGATAACAAACCTGTGGGGGTTCCATGTGCGCTGACGTCTTTGGTGGCGTCGAAGCTATCGATCTTCGGGCAGACGAAACAGTCACGGGTACTGGTAAACGGACCATGCAGATGACGCCATGTTAGGCACAAAGGTGACATGTCTAGACGCGTGTTGGGTCCAAGGTCGCCCGCAGGATCGGTAAAATAACTGTCGATTCACATCTGCCGGTTCAGGGGTATACGAGTGCCGGAATCTCCTTTCTGGAAGGAAAGATGCGCGAGGCGTGGGGTTGAGCATCATTCGAGACAAGGGGGCTAGTCCATCTAGGAGCATCATCAACGAATGGCCAGTCACACACCGGCCACAAAGGCAATTGGTACCACATCGAATGATAAGAATTAATAGAATCGGTTTGATTGGGTTGGATAAAATTGACTTGTCCTCTATCCTAAGGTAACTAACACGGAGGCGAAGCAGGTTCGCCGACGATTCTCCAGCCCCAACTTTCAGGTTCCGACCCCTCGTCCCCTTGACAACCCTGCAGCTATGATCGGCGTCGTTAGCCAAATCAATTCAGTCCAGCCTTGCTCTCCCCACCAACGAAGGCTTTCTTGCCCTCGCCGTCCTCGCTCTGCGTCTCGCTCGACACCGCGCCGTCGCCTGCCTGAGTGATCTGGGCCTCATGGTGGATCCCCTTTTCGGCTCCGTTACCAAAGTGCTTGAGAACAAGCCAGGCGGGACCAATAGCAAGAGCCCACAGGCTGAAGTTCATGTAAATACCACCAATCTCGCCAAAGACGGGAATGGAGGTCAGGCCGTAGCTGACAGCCTGCCATGCGGACTCGGTACCACGGAGCAGAGCGGCGTAGCGAATGACCTGGTCCTCGGTTTCGGCCAGGTTCGTGACGAAGAAGTAGCTAATCTGTTAGCGAGATTGCCGAGATCCGCAGGAGACTAGTACTTACAGGAACAGGTAGTTGATTTGGAATCCAATCGTCAGGAAGATGTAGACGCCAAAGGCAGCGCCAAAGCCGGAGCTGCTCCAATCGTAGGTAGGACGGCTTTCGCGGAATCTGGTGGCCATGACGGTAGCCCATGTCCACCAGGCACCCTGGGTGATGACAATGAACCAGAATGCGCCGCGGGAGCGCGTCTTGAGAGGGATCTTGGTGCGGTCGAGCCAGTGCTGCATCCGTTAGCTTGGTTCAGTCAAGAGTACACAGGCCTTACTTACACCCAGAAGGTTGCCGGAGATGACGGCCACGATACCAGACAGGAAAGAGCCCAGCGCACGCGCGCGGACAGAGAACCACACTGCATCCTGTTAGATGCTATGATGCGCAACCTCGACACTCAAAGAACTCACGAGCGATGTATGTGAAGTACACGGCCTCAGCAAAGACAGCCTGTCCAATCCAGAGGAGGAGAAGCAGGAATTTGGGCTTGAGGAAGTTCTTTGTCGTAGCCTTGATCTCGTACCACGGGTTCTCGACGATGGACAAGTTTACCTTCTTGCCATCCCTGCGCTCGACCTTGCTTGGCTTGTTTAGGAAGAACCCGACAAATGGACCAGCCGCCTGGATGGCAATGAAGATGATGAAAACGGTGTACGAGACACTGCCGGCTTGGTCCCGATCAGCATTGAGACCCAGGTTGATCGCACCGCCGAGGATCTGTCCGCCGAGACGGTAGGTCAGCCAGTAGCCGAGGGCCTTGCCGCGGTTCCATGGCTCAGGGTAGGCAATGGCGATCGCAGCCTCCGCCATCCAGAAGACACCAGCCGAGATGCCGCAGACTGCAGCGCCGAAAAGCATGAGCCACTCGGTGCCATAACGGTTGTTGGTGTAGAGGCCAGCAGCAAACGGCGCATAACCAACGCTGGCAGTGTAAGCAAAAAAGTCAACGCGCGAAGAAGTAGTGTGCGCAGTCTTACGTTCCGAAGATGAGAGCACCCTTGATACCGATGTAGTGGACAATCACACTCGAGAAATAGCACGAGACGACCATGAGACAGAACGTCAGCGCATTGGCGGCGTTGACGAGCTTAGGAGACGCAGCGCCACCTGCACCCAGGGAGTTCATGGCTCCCCAGATGCCGGGCGCGGCGAAGTTGCAGAGACCCAGGATGGTCATGTTGTAAAAGGTCGAACGGTACCATCTCACTGCAATGTACGATTAGAACGACTGCTTCATTCAAGGCGTATCTGCCCAGCCTACCTGGGTGCTGCTGCTCCTTGGGAGGAGCAACCTGATCTTGGCGGAGTTCCTGAGAGTCAGACATCTTGCGCATAGATTTGAAGAAACAAAGATGGAAGTCGCAGTGATCGGCAACATGAAAAAATCGGTCCTGACGCCTAGATTTTATCCCAGGGCGTTTAGGAGGCTGTCAGAGCTTGACACCAAAGATCAGGGTCGCCCGGGCCACGACTCCCACGTGTTGGGCACCCACGGCAGTTGACCCGTCTATTCGGAGACAGTTCCGGTTACGGTCCCGCCATGTTCCAAAGTAGGTTGAGCAGTCAAGACCGGGGAGGTTGCGACATCCGCCGGACCAGCACGTAATGGCCGACCACCCTGTCCAGACAGCAGCTAACGCCAACCCCCTGCAACGGAGTGGTCTCCACAAAACGGTGTGATGTATTTTCTGCAGGGTCCAACCGATGGGAACCCGGCTGATCGGGGATTCTGGAGCTCCTGATGCCGAGAGGGACTGCATCTTAGAGAAGGTCAAGTGATTGACACATTTAGACTGGGGTTCGATATGTCGCATGGCATGAGCTGAGATCGGAGAGTTCCGGTGACTCAACATGAAAGGTCCGATGATGGCATTTTGCTAGAAGCAATAGCTTGCTCGAGGCGTTTCGCGAATATGTCCCAGGAGTCCGGTACCGCAATCAGGGATAGGCAGGGGTCGCGTGGCTGTAAAGGGATGCATCGATGAAGACGAGGCATCAACTATGGGATGAAGGCATAGAGGTTTGAACGTTTCAGTTTATTCTTCAAGATGACTAACAGAGCCTACGGCACTGAGTACCAGCCTTCGTGAACATCTCTCAGGTCAACCTTGTCCGCCCGCACTAGATAGTCTGTCATATCGGTCCCCTCTGTCAATTCCTTTTTGGTGCAGCCCTTTCCGAAGTACCACAGGAACGGGTTGCCTCCGCTCTCTTCTACGTACTCGTACTCCCAGTCCTCCCATCTTGGCTCTCGCTGAACCATGGTCACAAGCGATGCGCTGCCTGGCCAGAGACCGTGAATCCTGGCCCCCGGCTTGCCGCCGTTGTACCAGGAGCTGCACCCTTCCGAGAGCACCGTTGTTGCAAAGAAGGCGTCTGACCACTGGGTGTACTGCTCTGCTGCTCTTTTCTTTGGTTGAATCGTGCGGATGCCCTCCCTCGCTGCCTTGCGCAGGATTCGCGCGTAAAAGACAACCTGATTCTCCACATTGTGCGGCACCGTTCCTGATCGCCCTGAACCACCTGGTCCGTGGACAAAGAGCAGGTTGGGAAAGTCAGGCGCCGCAGCACCGAGATATGTGTAGGGAAACCCGTACTTTCCACCCTCGCGCCAGGTTTGAGAGAGATCCTCGCCGCGGGCAATAATGGGAAAAGGGGGCACCATGTCGACGTTGGCGCCGGTAGCGCAGAAAATGGCGTCGACCTCACGATGGCGGCCGTCTTCTGTCTCAATGCCCGTTGGAGTGATGCGCTTGATCTTGGTGCGGATATAGTCAACATTGTCGGCCGTGATAGCCTCGAGGTAGCCGGGCCCCGGTGTTAAACGACGGCAGTGAGGAGAAAAGTCAGGAATGAGGGCATCGACGAGATCAGGGCGCCTGGCCAGACGGTCGTTCATGGCCTTCTTGAAGGACTCGCGCTGAGATTCGACCGTCTCGTGGCCCTTGAGATAGCCGTTGAACCCACGGTAATATTGGCCCTCTTGCTCCTTACGGTATTTCAGGTACGTGTCTGGGTCTTGCTTGAAAGCATCACGCTGCTCTTGTGAGATTGGAAGCGGGTCGAGTGAAGTATCATGACCAGCAAAGGAGGCCGTCACCCAGGTCTTGTTTCGGGCATAATGGTCGAGTCGCCCAGCCACGCGCTGGAGATGCGAGGTGAGCTGGATGCCACTGGCGCCGTTGCCAATGACGGCGATGTTCTTCCCACGTGGATCAAATTCGGGGTCCCAGTTCGAGGCGTGTCGGAGGGTTCCCTTGAAGTCGTTGATGCCAGGATAGTCAGGCAGCTTCCAGGCGTTGAAGCGACCGATTGCTGTGAGCACAAAATCGGCCGTCTCGGTCCGCAGAACGTCTGTCTTGAGGTCCCGGACACTGATCTGCCACTCGGATTTCACGTCGTCCCAGTTCAGGCCCTCAACGCGCTGAGACAGCTGCAGAAACTTGTACAGGTCGTATTTCTTTGCGAGCCCCTGCCAATAGTCGCGAATCTCGGCGCCCTGGGCGAACTGTTCCGACCATTGCGTATTGGGGTCAAAAGTCGCCTGGTAAACATGTGCAGGAACATCGCATCGTACACCAGGGTATATATTCTCGAACCAAGTTCCGCCCTGACGCAGGTCAGCCAAGGTCAATTGTCTTCTTTCAAGCGTA